CTGCCCACTGGGCTTGCATTCGATGAGGTAAGAGCCTAACTATTCGTTCTAAAGTAACCTGGGAATTAAGTTCCGTTGTACAATTTAACTGTTCTAAGATTAGAGCAACATACTGCATTTTAATCGAAAATTTGTCAACTGTTCCGGAGCATTATAATCTGCATTCCCGGTTCTAAACAAGACCTCTAAGGTTTCACGGGCTATCACATGCGACTGTCCAAAGAGCTGTTTTAAAATAGCCTTAGCTCTCTTATATCCCACTTGTGGATCCATTATAAGGCAACCTTCAATCGCATTTCTTGCTTTTCCTTTACAGTAGTGAATTAGATATAATAAACACAAATTATCATCCTTTACTCAAGGTTCTATAAACGATTCAAACTGCTTAATGAATCTAATGTAGTCGCGGGGTTTGCCGTCAAAGAATAAAAGTTCAACCTTAGGTAATTCTAAGCCTACTATCGGTGTCCTAAGCATCTGATCCTTCTCTGGTACCTTAGAATTCTCACCCGAATTTTGTTCCTTAATGCCTTCTAAGGGTGAATTACAATAATAAGTATCAAACGTAACATCATCACGGGTGGAAAAGGAACCCATTAAACAAGAAGAATCCTTAACGACTTGCCTAGCATTTCGGGATTCTTCATGCTCTTCCACCCTCTTCGTGTTTGTTTTCTTGCGGCTGCTCATGTTTAATTGAAGTTCAACGGAAGATAAATAACAAATACAAGATATACAAATTTCACCGGTGAATCCTCAATAATAAATATCCAAAATCAGAAAATCGTTTTCCAAAATACAGTTCGATCAAAAAAGAGATAAGTAATCCAAAGTTCTTCTTCCAAGAAGTTTAATATCGTAAACGATTAAAATTCCAAATGTTTCCTTATTCTTCTTAATAATCAGACTGTAGTAGGCTTGTTCTTCTTAATTGTCAGACTGTAGTTATTCTTCTAATCAATTGTCAGGCTGTAATTGAATTTTCTACCGTAGCAGTTCAATTCGATTCCAATAGACGTATGTCGAACGCACCTTCCCTTAGTCGAATATCAAAGCACAATAATTCTAGGAGAAAGTGGTCTATTTATATAAAAGAAATGGAAATACAAACGTTTACCTGACAATTATTACGTCTTCCAAGTCGAAATTACTCTGATGAGTATCCGAGTTCCAAAGACTAGGTGAAGCTAGTATACTGCGACGATATCAAATCCAAAAATGTGGCTGTAGCCATATTATATATCAAATTTAAACAACATGTGTACAGTTCAGAAGCAAACATAAAAACTTCAATATAAGTACAAAATATAGAAATAATAACAATATACAATGATAAAATCTCAAAATGGAATCAAATAAAATACCAAAGTGTCAACAGAAAGAGTCAGTCATGTCATAACAAAAATATATAAACATGGAGGGATTTTCCAAAAAACAAAACTTTCAAAAAAGATTCTACAATCAGTACTAGATGAAATCGACCTGTGAATTTGTTTCCCGTGTGAAAAGCTTATTTTTGCCAGAGCATTTAAATATTAGCATACATCTCAGATCAGCGAATTTTAAAATACAATTCAGAAGCAGTATCACAAGTAGATCCAAGCACAGGACTGATTCTGCAGAAACCATTTATTCTAACAGAGGATAGGACTTCAAGGCTCATATATCACTTATTCTCATTTGTTGTTAATGGTGTCCCCTAGTTTGACAGAGCTGTGTGGTGTAACATTCTCGCATTCAGAAATAAAATACACTCTCCCAGGAAGCTGGTACAAGTCATACAAGGTTCACAGGCGGCTAACACATTAAACCATGAAGCCACTAGCCAGGATCACGTCATTTTATATTCCAAAAGGGTTACGGGATCTCTGGTCTAAGATTAGTATCGTAAATGCCTGTTGCCCTTGAACTCTTTTCACCCCGACAACACTGCTTGAGGAAGGCCTACAGATGGATTACCAATCCTCTGACTGTGTTGGTAAGATGGACCACCATTCTTAATCATGTGGGAAAGGTGAATGCGCATTGACATTTTATCATCTAAAACTTTATGATAATTTACAGAATTGCTACTAGAATACGCCCTTGTCTGGTATTTGTATGTTTCGTTTTCAACTTTTCTGGCAGCTAACCATAAATAGTTTCACTCCTGCTCATTAGGTCCTTCACTCCAAAGGATAGAACACTCTTAGAGACTAAAACCTTTGGAATCGTGACTAATATCTCTAGGACTTTGTCCAATGAGGGAAAGTTTTATTTACCTGCGGTATCCTGAACATACTCTAAAATTTCAAGCTATTTCAATCGATAGTTTATAGGAGGTACCGAGAAATTAGGGGCAGATATATATCATTAACAGGGCGCGGATTGGCAAAGCGAGGGCTGCATTTCTACAGTTGAAAAATATCTGCAACTCCAAACAACTTTCAAACAAAACCAAAATCAGGATTTTCAATACAAATGTGAAGACAGTTCTACTGTATGGAGCGGAAACTTGGAGAACTACCAAAGCCATCATTCAGAAGATACAAGTATTTATTAACAGTTGTCTACGCAAAATACTTCGGATTCGTTGGCCAGACACCATCAGCAACAACGAACTGTGGGAGAGAACAAGTCAGATTCCAGTGGAGGAGGAAATCAGGAAGAAGCGGTGGAAGTGGATGGGACACACACTACGAAAAGCACCCAACTGCGTCACCAGACAAGCCCTCACATGGAACCCTCAAGGCAAAAGGAAAAGAGGAAGGCCAAGGAACACACTACGCCGAGAAATAGAGAAGATATGAGAGGAATGAACAAACATTGGACAGAACTGGAGAGAAAAGCCCAGGACAGAGTTGGTTGGAGAAAACTGGTGGGCGGCCTATGCTCCATTGGGGGTAACAGGCGTAAGTAAGTAAGTAATATATCATTAACCTGGTACCCATGATTATACTATGTTTCCAAGTCCAATAATACATTATGGGTTTGGGAACATTGATTTGAACAAAATTGATGAACTATTCTATCTTTTCCCTTAAAGCCATATTAATTCAAACTAAAACGTATGCACACCAAGTGAATTTCTTCTACCTACGAAGAATTTTTCCGAAACCAAATGTAGGAATCGAATGGAATCAAGATTTCTACCCTATTACTTTAGCTCCTTGAATGAGGGATCCTTAAAATGCATACGTCGTTACGTCTGCACTTCGTTCGGTCAGTTACATCATCAGTCAGTTATTATTTGATCATATAAGCCCTGCTAGTCTGTACAGATCCAAGACCATCCAAAGAAAACATTTTTAAATTTAGTTGTGTCACCCACAGACATGATTTTTATAGACGCTTCTTTACCTTCTGGGTCAAACGGACAGGTCGTCTTTTCCCATACAATAGGTGCTGGTTTCAAAATTTCTTGTTGGACCATATTCATAACCATAAAAACCTTCAGTGAGTTCAAATCCTACGGAAAATTCACGATATGGTTACCATCATCAACATGTAGTCTGGAATGATTCTGAACCTTTCAGTACTCAACGACATATTATGGGCCGCACTTAAATTATCTAGCTACACTACTCTTTCTAAAACACTTGATATCAGATGCAACCTATTCTATTGTCAAACATAAACTAAGTCTCCTAACTACAAGGTCGGTCAAGTCATCTGAAATCCAGCAGTTTTATGACTGGGCAAGTTTACACCTAGTTCAAAGGATAGTAAATGTTCCTGTGCAAGTAGGTCATGTAAAAATGTCTTACGCCATCACAATTCAAGTAGTAAAACAAAGGGATTCGAAACTTTCTTGTCCTTTTGCTGACAGTAGTTTAGCAGATATTACAACATTTACTCCTATCGAAAAATTTATTTTCTCTCATGCTAGCGAGCTGACCCGGTCATGTTCCGTTTTTTAACAATAATACAAAAAGGGCTCTGACCTCAAACTTCCATTTTACTTTCATACTTTACAATGTTTGTCCCAAAGGAATTTTGAGACCAAAAATCTGCCCTAAATACCCCTTCACATTGGCATTTTTTTTCCTTACTATCCAAAAGAAAGTAGTCATCCAGCTCAAAACCATACATTTAAATTAATGAAGCTCAACTCCACCTTGAAACTAAGATTAGGATATCAGCCTATTTTTTTAATCGTCTCTTCTTAATTGATGCATTACTCAACCTGAGTCTAGCAGAATTACCCCAATTAGAACCTATACTTTGACTCCTCATATTGTCACTACATTCATGAATTCACAAGCAGATTTAGGAAGACCACTCTCTAATTCTACGATTGTCTATGACCTGTACATTTATGATAACAGTCACTGGTCAGCTAAATACGCTGAGATCTTCCCATAAGACATAAGGTGCAACACAGTGTTCTACAAACACTCCTTCTTTACATAAGAAGGGAAAGTAGATACTACTACCACCTGAGGTGCTCCAAGTAAATTTGATGAATTTATTCGTCAGGATATCTAAATAATTCTTGAGAAATCAGGAGACTATTTCATTTCCAGTTACTAGAATTTGTTTTTTGCCCATTTTAAATATCTGCATACTTGCATGGAGTCATCAATGACACACTACCATTAAGAATAGAAGGTTCCATTCGGTCAACAACCGCTAGATCCGAGGGAAGGAACTTGAAAAAACCAGACACCAAATAATGAGCTGTTGTAAATAGAGGCTGGATTAGGTGGTTTATTATATTTGCTTGCTCTTGCGAAGACAAGATAAACTCAGGAACATAATGCAAGCGAACTTACAGACACTTCCTGCAATTGTTGCTGAACGCTCAGCTCTGAATCCATAAATCAGTTAATCTGAAGAGGAAAACAAATAATAATGATAAAATTTCAGAGAACAGAGTCAACTGTATTGTTAAGAATCTCCAAATCCTTTTCTTTACTCAGTGAAATGACCAAAATTCTAAGGTGTATATTTTGAGTTCAACTACCTTGAGACCTATTGCGCGTTATTTAGTTGTGCTAGCCGGATAACGCTTTGTGATAATGTTTTGGTATTTGTTAATAATTTTCGATGTAATACTGCATTCAGTTTTATCACGTGAGTTTATAAGTCTGTGTATCGTTATTTCTTACAGTTTTAGAGACGGAAAAGCTCCCACATTTCGCACTTCGTAGCTTCTTGTCTACCAACGATATCGTTTATTTTAATTTCCCCATACCACAGCACACGTTCATTACCAAACTCTCAATATCCGTAACCTTTCATGACTGCGATCCCGAAAACATTAGTTTGTTGGTTGTGAATTATGTTATAACCCGTTTTGTTTTTTGTAGTACCCTTCGTGCAGGATCTTTTCCTGTGGTCAGACCATTTGGTGTTCCAATGCCTAACGGTGTTTTAGCTCCCAAAAACTCTCATTCACTCAATATATCGATTAAGAAACCGTTTAACTTGACGTTTGGTGCTGAAGATTGTGGAACGTACTCTCAATTTAATGTGAAGTCAATTAGTCTTAGAAATGCAGCAAACATAGACATTAATATCATTGGACCTGTCATTGGTATGTGGTATATTGGTGCTTATATGACAGCCTCATTTCAGGTGAGTATACTCTTCCTGCAGTCTAGTCTATTTTTTCTTAGTCTTCAGTTATATACTAAAGCTAAAGTACTGCTCTTGGAATCGTTGATTCTTAACATGACTGGAAATTATGAAACGTATTTTCATGCCATAATATTGTTCATTTAGCTTTACAAGAGATTTTACAGTGTTTTAAGTAAATAGTCTACCATTTTGGTTACAATTACTAATGTTCCTGCTTCTCGTTGCCATTTAGTGTTCATGCTGTTCGTTTATACTTCTTAGTGCCCGTTGAGAAAGGTTCTTATTTAAAAAGCTTACATGTCTTAACCTGATTTTAGCCACTTGGATACTTATGCCAAATCTGTGAGAGTTGGTTTTGTTTGAGGAATCGGTAATCGAGTACATTAAGCATCAACTTACCACAATATTCCTTTAGAACTCTTACAATATATTATGTCCACCGAGAGTGCATTCAGTTGGCATAAGTGTTAGCTTTATTCATAGTCCACTCATGTTTTGCATTTCATACTATTCTGTGGTATGTACGTTCCCATCTTTCCTTTCTGAATGATTATAGCTACTTAATGTTCTCTTTGCTAATTTCGCTAATGTTTAGAAGCAGACAAACCAACAGAGGTGAAGAGCTGTTGTTTTGTCGATAACTCCACACAGTTTCTAAGCTGATAATATTTTGAAAAGTGATCAAATAAGTTACTTGCGGGGAAAATTTCTCACGAAGATAGTAACATACAAATGTTAATACAACGTGTGATGCTCAAAAGGGAAAGAATCCACCCTCAAACTCTCCACATTCTCATCAAGTATTCTCAATAGACTGCAAGATAAATTTAAATGCTACACTTATTTAGTACTTGTCCTTGTACAATTCAGACTATCGTTTGCAACCTACTACCGTTGTTTGTCGTCATGCACGTTTCTCATTCATAGTCCATCATGATATTTGAAATCCTTATTCATATCTTACATTATATTCAATCTATTCTTGAATTTACACTTCTCTCCAGCTCAAGTTTCGAACTAAACCTGAAAAAAGCTTCCCATAAATTTATAACTTATTTTCCTTGTTTAGGGCTTATACGATATACGAATCCTTTGGTTGGTAATTTGAAAGTTTATTTTATCTAATAGCATTATTTTTAAAACTTGTTCTAGAGCTTATCATATGTTTGAAATGGAAATAATCTATCTCTGGTAGGGTATCATATCGTGCTTAAACATATTTGTTTGCACAAAGAAGCAACTATACATTTATGCACTACAAAAATCAGCGAATTTATTTATGGACTAGTATACTGCTCGTGTGCCGAAACCGGAGAAAGTAGTTTTTTAAGGGGGCGCTCCTCCAGCCTTTGACTTGAGGGTCTGATCCACATTGCGGTCGAGCAATGTTAAAAGATGCAATATAATGGTAGTTGGTGACCAAGAATAGGTTCTTATGCCATTTTTTCTTTCAGGATCCAGGAGCCTATATGCACTATTTCTTTGGAATCATAGTTTCGCTATCCCGGCAAAGTAGACTCTTCATACCCATCAACTGGTATAAGCGTCAAACGTTTGCTTTTCGTCCTCTCAATTCATTAAAAACCAGCCAGATCTCGAAGAGGCAATGGGTATGACTTCCCTGACAGTGGCTATTTGCTCGTGGCCATATGAGATTTCGAGAAGAGGAGCGAACTTTAATCTTACCAGGGTAAACCTTGTAATTAATGTGAAGACTCCTGATAGTCCTCAGCCTGGAGTTGTAGTAGTAGTGACACTTCAATAAACACTGCCTTAAATTTCTATAATATCATTAGATTTCTTCTAGTTCCCAACCATAAGACTATATTTTTTACTAATTTCATATTTAGAAAGAATGCATAGCATGGTTACTGCCATCCGTCAGACACGACATTTCCTACATTGATGGACTTATTTCATATAATTATAATGCTCAACTAAAACACAACCAATCGATTTCTTACGAAAAAACACTCTTTGAGGGTATCTCTAAGCTTCCTAGTAGATCGGCACTTGATTCTCCTTCAGTAGAAAAACTGTTTCTCCGGAAAAAAAGACGTAAACCTCTTTATCATTCTGTAGTTCAGTCTACAGCGGATCAACCTACACACAATTCTTTGACACTCCCAAGTTCATCAACAGAATCAATCAACGTTAATCCATATCGTGTAAAGAATTTATCATTCTTGGTGTCACCATTCGAATTGGAACTGGCTCCCGTAGAAAGCAGATTATACTTGTAAGTCTTCCCGCATTTCGTTTAACTAAGTCCTGTTTTCATTTGTTTGTTCCAACATTGCCTGTACGTAGTTTCGTTACTAAATTTTAAAAACACTAGGCCTTTAAGAACTTAAAGTAAATCATGCATAAATAACTGATTGTTTTAGTGTCAAGCTGTTCTTCCAATCTGAAAATGATTCCTTAGCTTTATAGAGTTGAATATTATTGGAACATTTCATTCGTTTGCAGATTTTAGTTGCTTATCGATCTCATGCATACGGTTGAGTCTTTAATTCTTTCATTTTAGAAATTTAGTCAACAAATTTAATGTAGCCTAAAATTACAGGGGACAATTCATCATGATATTCCCCTTGGTATGATGTTTCTTGTTTGTATTGAACAAAACCTATTTCATTTTATAACCACATACACCGAAATAACCCTGGAGTAACTTACCAACTAGTGCGAAATGCGTTTAACAATGTAGGAAATGGTAGAAATATCCAGTATGACATGGTAATAGTGACCCCATCCTCTGTCTGTTGTCTGTTGGGGGCAGTTATTGTTATAGTTCAAAGTCAAAAACAATTACTCCTCAAGCATACCAAACCAAACATATGACTGATATGTAGTTCTAATCCTTTATAATGTCCGATTGGTTCATCAAACAACTTTAGACAATATTGTATTCATTTTATGTATTAAGGTTATCGGTAAACCGATCACTATGTCAATAGATCTGTCTGCTTTTGATAACTTTAGAGCAGAATATTTAGTTCGTGATTCGTTTTTGATGTATGATAGCTTGTTGACTAAGCCTAATGAGTATGTACTCGTGATCCAATGGGCAAACATTTAGTTTGCATATCATTGAGAAGAAATACTTCCTTGATAAAGAAACTGAACGCAAAGCGGATAAATAGAAAGCTTAAGCGTTAAGAGTCAGTTTACGTCACGCCATTGATAAACCTAAATTATTTAAACAAGCCAGATTCACAAAAAACGTTTTACTTCTAGTAAAATATTTGTTCTAAACAAGATAAAAGGTATGTTAACAAAGCAAAAGGATATTAATTACGTTTTGTCATTTAAAACACCTACTTTACTCAAATTTTACATACTAAATAATCCGAGTTTCTTGTTCGGTTTAAATAAAGTGCTATCTAATTAGAATACTGCTTGCACACTGATCTTTATATCTTTCGTTTTTTTTCAATTATCTTTCTAGACTAGCCATTATGGATGAAATGACTAGTGTTGATGTAATATTAGAGGATTGTAGAATTGTTACACCGATTGCTCCGTCTGTTGGAAATATTTCGGAGTCCAAACACAGTAATAATTCAACTTCAAAAGAGACAACAAAATCATCCCTACATCCTAACTTGCCTTATGAGATTATATTTGATTCTTCTGCCTGTCCAATCATTATTGATGGTAGTGTTGAAGCTTTACCACCTAGTGTTTCTTATCTACATCAATCTCAAGAATTTAGAGTTTCCAAAACAAATAAATCTAAATATAGGACTGATTTTTCATCGAATATTGATCTTCCATCTTCAAACACTTCTAATTATACTAGGGATTCAAGCACTCAGAGAATATTTCGCTTATTAGGACTTCGAGGTTCTCAAATCAATCATTATCTGTACATTCTTAATCGAGCTTCTCATGTTGCTGTGTACATACGACTGGTTATAATTCCAAAATTCGGTAAGTATTTTCTTCCATAAACCTAGTACGTATGTGTGAATCGACTCTCAGTCATTGTTTGTATACATGAAATTCGGACACAAATGTTATGTAAAGATTTAAAATAGTGAGTAATAAATGTCGATAGAGCAATTTTTTGATTCTTATGGTAGCAATTTAATGAATTAATGGATGAAGTAAAAAGTGTTTATAGACAATTTTTTTGTCATATATAAAATTTTCTGATGATGCTAAAGAAACAAGTAAACAATAAAGACCACCTTAGCTACTGAATGTAAAAATCGTATCACTGATTGTCATCCTACGAAGGTAATAGACAGTGTTTTTGGGCTGATTTTACTTCTTCAGTTGCCTGAAACGTTTTATTAATATTTGAATACAATTTATAAAACAAGAGGTTTTGTAAAATATACTATACAGCGTAAAACGACTATAAATACTATATTTTTCCTTAATATAATTAGTTTTAAAAATCCTACCTAGTTTTCTTTTTAGCGATCCATTACATTGTTGCTTTCACGACCTCGGTATTAAATTCATTTTTATCTGTCTGACCTGAAGCGATGTAAGGCATCTTAAGCTGGTTCTACGTTGCTTATTTCTAATTTACTATGATGCAATAATATATAAAATATCTATTTTAAATGTTTCAGAAACCAAACAACATCTTAATCATATTAAGGATGAATAATAATGATTAATTTTACAATATCGCGCCAACTAATCGAAACTGTTTATTTTTGATCATTGACATTTGATCCTTTCGTTTTAAAAACAAACAAAAACAAAATATCATAGCTTTCCTCTGTATTATTACAAAGCTATAAGTAAATCATTGTTAAACAATCCCAAAATTGGGGTATTGCAAATTTTCATTTATTTAGTTAGTTAACAACAACGTAGAACTTCGTACGTACGTACATCAGTTCAAGTTGCCATACCACATTAGCTTAGCGAGATCAAATTGTCAATTCAAATCCCATAGTAGTAAAGGTAGTAGAAGTATTAGTAGTAATCGGAGAGATTAAGGTTCGACGATATTATCTAGTGAAAGGAACTTATTAAGAAAAAGTTGATGAGGAACTCCATAGGTTATGATTTGAGCGAACACAGAGAATGAATGCACCTGCATATTTTCATGAATTAATATCGAATATTTTCTTGGTGATTCTTTTTTCGATATCGTTATCCAAATGATAACAGAAATGAATTTCAAATAAATCTGAAAAATTAAATTTATTCTACCATGATTTATCGCTTAGGTTTTTTTTTATCAAAAGTATAAATTACACTGACTTTTGATTATATAATTTAGGTAAAATCATCCAATCAAGTAATATGTTTCGTTTTAAACCTTATCATTATTAATGTGCTCTAGAAAATACTAATTGTTTGGAAGTTATTAGTTTAACATAAATCAATCAGTTACAATTACATATATATGCACATCGATCATTTATTCTCTTTCCCACCATTATTGATAATGTGTAGGCTATTCCATTGTACCTATTCTGTGATATGCATATATATCGTATACTATATAAAAAAAAAACTAAATCACAGGTTGAACCTTCGTTTAAATAAGCACTTGAATAAATTACTCAAGCGATTAAACTATTTTATATCATAATACTCTTGATTTATTGCTTCGTTTGTTTACAACACATGATAATTCCTTATAGGATAATATCAATAATGATTGCCAACATACTATCTGAAAACTGATTTATCTACAATCAGTCACTGTTATTTTATCATAATTTCAGTCACATAAAAATTATATTATTCAAGAAATAACTCATTATGAAAGTAGTACAAGTAGATCTGACTAATTTCAAAGCATATAATTATTTTGATAAATAGATACCTTAACTGCTTCAATCAAATTAGATAAAACAGAATTCAAACTTACGATTCAATAGCTGAAATTAAAGCGTTTCAAACAGTAAATAATAATAATAATTCAATGAAGATTGATTCAAATGTATATTGCTATTTTTCTTCAAGAAAAATAAACAAATTCATAAATAACAATTAAATATGCTGATTTAAACACAAATTCTAAAACTGGGGGTAACTTTAATTGTTTTATATTCTTACCAAACTTTTTCTGTCTATCCGTCTGTGTAGGTTGTTCACTCATGAGAAATTCTAGAAATTTCCAACATGAAAATTACTTGTATCGGCAATCTCAAGAAATTTCTTCACAATTTTTATCAATTCAACATGAAAATAAATCATTAAAAAATAAAGTTGATTTTAATCGAACAAATAATTTTACAAATTATCATTTATTATTCAGTCAATCCTTATTACCATGGATTAATTCAGATTGGCCAGAATTAACACCAGAATATGGTAAAAAGAAATGGTTAAAAATGCATTATTCAACAAATGAACAAGAACGACAACAACAATTAATTCTATCGAATTTTGAATCATTTCATTTGGAACATCCAGCTTATGAAAATTTACCATTATGTTATATATGGCCTACTCCAACACGTGTTCAATTACCAGTGAAATTTACTTATCATTTTACTTATCAAGTAAATCAATCATGAATTTTTTAAATGTTATAAATAACAATTATGTATTTTGCAGTAATTAATTTTTATAGAAATTTAAAAAAAAACTAAGTTTTGTTGATTGGTCCATTAGGGTATCAGGTACCTGCGTGGTTGCATCACAGGATTGAGCTGAACTGTTTATGTCGAAATGCTGACACGTGAGCAGTCTCCTTGGTTGCCCTTGACAACAGAGGGTTAATTTATATTATATAATATAAAAGTTTTGTTGATAGGAAATAGTGATAAACATCGTCTAACTTTACTTTTATCATTATAGTTATTATTTTATGCAGCTCATTGTGTTCAACATAGACTATAACCTGTTTAAGAAGTTGATTAGGAACTACAATGATTGATAAAATATTTATAGTCTAGACTTAAATGTCTGTTAGTAATTTATTGGAAAGTAAATGACTTACAGAGTTGATTTTTGTCCATCCCGTTTGGGATTTATTCTTGTGTGTTTTTCTGTTATTAAGTCGTATATAAGTATTTTTTCTTACTATGCCAAAAAAGAGTCTATTATTCTATCTAATGGTCTTGTCGTTGACTACATATATCATTAAATGGTCTTTGTCAATATCTCAGTCTCGTGAGAAGTTATCTCTATCACTGAATCATATCGTATCATCTATATAGATCACCATTCGTTTAATTTATTTTATTTTATTGACCAGAAACTCGTTTATCAAATCGTTAATCATCCAAGCTTAATCTGATTATATCCTACTGTATATAGTCGATTAATAATATTACTTTTTCACTTGAACTTTTCATATGTGTTCTTCATTCCAGATTTCATTTCATTTAATTTATTTTATATAAATAGGATTATATAGGTTTAAGGTATTAGTATCCTCAGTTATTTGACATTCTATCTTTTAACTTCTTACTTTGTTCGATTGGCAGGTCATTTCTTAAGATTTCTCCTAAAATAATAACTTCAAGATAATAAAGAAAAAACTAATGTATTTTCAGGTCAAAATTAGGAGTTTTATAGAGATTTGTAAACATTATTTCATAAAATTCTTTTAATAGAATAAATAATCTTTATTTGTTTTTCAAATATCAAGTACTGTTTACGATAATACGTAATTATTGTTCCTACTGGCTTTAGTGGGTAATACGACGGAACATTCTCATAGTTCAGTTTGATTTTGCCAGTTGGATATTGTTGTCACTTACTCTGTGCACCATAGTGATGTGACCTAAAGCCGAATACACATATTTGTAATTTGTTACCTTTGTGTACTGAATCATCATCATAATTAAGGAGAAGACATATTTCAAAGTGTTAATCTTGATGAAGACAAAACTCATGAAGAATGTGAAAGTAGTTTTATTTCATTTCCACTGTTATGAACAACGTTAGTAGATAAAAGTTGAACTGTTTTAAATTGTAAGTTATGTCAATATCATATTATATTGTTAACTGAATTTGGTTAGTTAGTTATTCAACTCATTTAGGATAGTATCTCATATTTTTAGCCCGACTTAATTCGATTAAACTTATACTCAACTCGATGTAACATTTATTTTTCCCATTTCAAGAGACCATTAACAACAGGATGTAACAGTTTGTATTCATTTTTAGTTTTATTTTTTATTCATAAAATTCAAAACTTTTTATGCTAAGATTCTTTGTCTTAGTTTTTTGTCCTAAATCCTCTAAAAATAACTATTATTAAATTAAGACAAGTATTTCCGTTTAACATATTTTCATAACGATGCGATTATAATCAAACTATATACTGTATTGATAGTTCAAATCTTCCCATTGTACAATCCAGTCGCTGTCTGAACTCAGTAATTAAGTGGATAACGCGATCGCATTTGAAGCAGATGGTTGGGGGTTCGAGTCCAGTAGTAAATAATAACTCTGGGATGCAGATCCATCCCGCTGATACGTCGCGAATAGGACAAAATTTGCGTCCTGGTTTCCACTGTTAGCCACTATCCATCTCCGCTCATATATTTTAGTGAACAACGAAATATGGCTGTTTCGCTTCTTTGATCAGCAAAATCATCTATAAATTATGTTTGTGCTTATAGGATTATGAAGTTATAGGGTTTACCTATTTTCTGGTGCCTAATAAGGTAACCTGGTTATCCATCCTTACATAGTTGTAAAAGGGTTCAAATCTGTAAACTATATTTTAATTTTAAATTTATTTAATATTAGTCACTTGTAGATGCATTTCATTGAGTAAGTTTAGCTTCTAGTTCATTTGAAATATAATTGGGTTGTAGTAAAATGACAATAAAAAGCAACGTTCAAAAAGGCATTTTGAATCTATAAGCCTCTGTCATGTGTTCTTAACGTTACTGTATGTCATCAAGATACTTTGTCTCATTACTAAACATATCATTGTGACAGAAAGTATTTGCGTATTTCGGATTGTCAACGCATATGAAGTTTTTTGGTAGTGTTTTGTCATATGGTCCTGACAGCAGGCTATAATAATCCACCAATATGTGATGAATAGGACACTGAAATTAATTGATTACTAAAAATTTGGAATACTTGTTGATTACACTGTCAAAATCCTTCAGTAATCAATCTACACTTATGCTATAACAGTAGCTTAAGGCAGTTGAACACCTTATTATTTCACAGTGTTGGCCATTTAGTCTTATCCACATGAAGTTTCGTCATGGAATTTACTTTTAGGGATTTCTGTTCTTAAAATCGATGTGGATAACAGTTTTTATAGCTCACAGGATTCTGTAAATACAATTACTATCTATGATTCATTTACTTTATATTTAAATGAACGAATAAGGCTGCTGCCTTGAGGTGATCAGGATTGTTTATCTTAACCAACTAAACAAACTTTTGTATAGAACTCTGGTTACTTAAGTTTCAACTTACTAATATCGTCGTGTACAGACTACTAAGATATAAAGTTGTAAATTCAAAAGAACAGGTCTAACTAAGCAATTGAAGTCTCATCAACCCTAGTTTGTTGCAGGATGCAAAGTTTGGATTATATTTTATCAGCTTACTTCATTTGTGACACGAGAGACTTATTTCTTTAAAAATGTACTGGTCAGCAGTCTCTTTGTATTACTTATTGACTGCAAAACATCCTAAAAGTCTTAGGTTGCTTGTGTTCGGTCAGGTATCTGGATAATTTGCCCGACCAAAGCGGATCTAGTAAGTGGGTAATTCTGATTGTATATACATAGTGACCAAGGAAAGAATGAGGATTGATTGGTAAAGTCATAAATCTTCTTCAACTAAAGTAGGCTGCACATGAGTTACATGAGTTACCTAATCATCAGTTACTCAGAAGTGTGTTGTTTTACGGAGGTGCATTGAAATGCGTCTAACAATCGTAACCAGTCATTGAAAACCTAGTGTGGAACAGTTCTAAATTTGCCACTATCTTTTTTTTTATCTTCCTCCAAATTCTGAGTTTAATTTTATTTCTTAATTCAGTTTGTTCTTTTGCAATTGGATTCTGTAAATTTGATTTTTATTACAACTGATGTCATTAAAATTTCGACTACCTCTCTTTTTATCTGATTAAATTCCTCTCACTTTTTTGATGTCAACTATGATAACTTTCATCAGGTTCCATGTTTGTGACTAGCGTATTGATGTTAGACTTGTCAGCAAAATACCTTTAAAAATGCATCTGAATAAATTCTTCCATAGAATATCACAGCTCATAATTTTCATCTAAGAAATTTATTCAGTATACTTCCAATGTAGATTCTTGTGTAACATAGTTTATCAAGAGTTGCTTTTCTAAATAAATAAATAATCATAAACGATAAAATGTTCTTTCATTTTGTATGATAATTTACATATATGCTTTAAAAAAATAGTTTGTTCTCTCTCAGACACATTTACATGTTTATCTTTTACAGCCTGATTTTGGACGGTATGCCAGTCTACTTCATTTGAAACCATGGCATATTGTTATTATACCGATAACATTAAATTCAGTAATGGATATTTCAAGTGTTCTTGAGATTGCTTTACAACTTAATGCATTAAATGTTTCATGGCAATTCAATGAAACATACAGAGAGGTAAGAAATAATGATAACTTGTCAGTGAATATATGAGTGTGATATTATTATTAATCTTCTCAAAATATGATTAGTTATACCTTTGGGTTTTTTTTCTAATTTTGTACAAACTGACGTCAGTTGGACACTCATTGAAGTTTAATAGACACTAAACATTCTGTATTGTCACAGTTTTATACTTTTTAAAAGTAAACATCTAGTATCATTTTATATGACGATACTCTAGCTGATTTCTGTTTTGGAATGAAAATTTTTTTTGCCCTTCTTGATTATAGTCATCAGAGTGTTCAGTAAGTAGATCTTTTCTTCGTTGATTTGTTTTTTAAAACTAGACAAAGATGTATTTGTGTGTGAAGGAGATAAAAACTACTTACTAACCGTCTTAAAAAATTGATACTTCAAGGCATTTAGCTGCAAAAAATACAATGAGTTCTAGTTAGGAGCATGTTTCATCCATTCAATGTACACATGCTGTGCAAACTTTCTTCTATAAAGCCAAATGAATACGTGATTATTGCGTCACAGTTACTTTCTGTGTGAAGACTACCTTAAAGATGTTCAGTGAAATGATAAGTTAACACTACAGCATCTCTTGATTTGTAAATTGTGAACAGAAAGAAACTGTTTACATAAAATATGAAAAACACAGAAGACTATTGTAACTGAATTATCTATGCACTGGTCTTAACTTGGTTGATTAGCAGTGATAGTTTGTAGGTAATAAGAGTGACGAAGGAATAAACAGCCATTCTATTTTACTCTTATTTATGATAATTTTGTTGAAAAATTAAATGCGTACATATTTAATGTGATGAGAACTCACAGTATTATATTGTTGAATATGTCAACTTAATTTCCTTTTAGACAACTTAAGTAGTCGATGAAACTTGTAGAAAGCATTACCTTATTTAATTTACTTTCATAACCTCATTAATAGTTGCTTTCATCTTGACCGGAATTCTACCAATTCAAAAGAAATGTTTATTTTCTGTCTACTATGCTACCATCATTATGGGAGGTAGAAAATTCAAATTTTTTTAAAGGTAGAGTTTGATATGCAGTGTTTTTTTTGTTTAGAAAAAAACAATTACAGGAACTAGGCCACATGAAGGAAAAAAAGTGCGGGAATTCAATCACAGATTCACTTGACTCATTACTTAACTGTTATGCAGCTAGTGATGAGTGACTTGTCATTGTTGATGTAATATAAGGTAGATAAACTGATTGATTTTGTTTTGATATTACGTCAGCGCAAACCGCAAATGCAGTTCACAAAAAGTATTCTATATTGACTTGATTTCATTCAAAAGAATACACGTGTTCACATGGTATAATATCTCTTGAATAGGTAAGTATCCTTCTAATGTGTTAAACAGGGACACTAAATATCCTCACCTAAAACGAACTTCACTAAGACATGAATATTATATCTTTGTCTTCTTTATCGTAGTTTATGTTTTGTATTGTTGATGCATTTTCCTATTAACAATTGGGAACTTATTTCCTTCTTAACTTGTAACCAATTTTTTTCATTCGAAATTCTTTGTTATTGTGTCTGTTCATCACATGATAGTGATGATGATGATGATGATGATGATGTGTGGAAAATTACAGACAAAGTGAATAATAATACCGCTTTAACTTGTGACAATTTTATAGTTTATTATTAAAATTCATATTATTATTATTATTGTTGTTGTGGTTGTTGTTATTTTTTTTTCTATCCAAATTGATTAATTTTCTAAGAAATGATAAATTCATTTTTTTCTTGTCTAAGTTTAACTCTCATCAATGCAAGCTTTGTCGAATTTTTTTCTTACTATCTGAATAACCTCTGGTCATCTATCAGTTGTGTTTGAATTGAATTAATAATTATTGATTGATGGATTGATAAATACCTGGTTGGTTTTATACGAATGGATTTTCTTTTCTTGACATAATTCATTGGCTGTAGCTGGCTATCAATGTGACATTATTCCAGGTACTGGAATTGAATGTAAAAACACTATGTAACATTAGTGACTACGTTTGCATTAGCTGTAAGGAGTGATAAGGGGGTGTGAGAAGAGCGAATCGTGGAGATAGGAGAGATGTTAGGGGGGGGGTTGGCAGGATTTGTTTTGGGCGAATTTGGTTTCGCGTGCTGTTACGACTATATGGGCGAATGTCACTTCCCGGCTGCCCACACCGTGGAAGGTTGTTTCTAGAGGAACCTGAAAAGGAAGGTATATTAGCGTTGGTCTTAGAGACCTGGGTGCGTGACCGCAGAGTCCAAGAGACAACCGCTTGAGGCCGGTCACGCACGGCCTTTTCATGAGAAGTATTTTGAGGATTAGCTCTGTTCTTAAAGGCCCTTAGTGGTCACCCTTATCGACGGAGACGGAAATCCGTGAGGTAGGGTGAGGTGTGACATTTTTAGGGTCGAGCTTTTCTAACCCCTTCCTTCCTTGTGAGATGGCAGCATCGTTGCAGATGCTGGTTATCCGAGGATAACACCTTACTGCTGTCACAGCTCTCTACAGTCAGCAGTATGACTTCGCCCTCAGACCTTGAGTATCTGTTTTTAGTCTGATCGTTCTCCAATCGACCTGCCTGGCATGGTAGAACCTTCAGGAACATATTTTCTGGCCAATATGGCTGGTTTCGGTCATCACGATGGGTAAGGTAGCAACTATGGTCGGGAGTGACTACGTAATAAGTGAATTCCATCTGAGGGAAATTATTTTCAATTTAGCTTTCGGGATTTTTCATTGATAGCATTAAGGCCGACCAAATCATTTTTCTTGGATTACTCTGTAAACTAATAATAAAATACCTTTTTTTTCCGGACTTTACACAAATTCTTGTGCAGTTGTTTTATAATTATGCATAGACTTTCGAATCGTTTCTTCACGTAATTCAAATATGTCTTAGTAAAATATTTTAGATTTATGAACTCTTTCACTTTTCTTTGGCTACTTATCACAAAACTCAAATGTTCTAATACATTTGAATCTTTTTACAATCCATATCGCTTTTCATTTTTATGACTCAAACAGAAGAAATGATCTTACTAGTTTAGCTACTAATATGCGTTTTTGCCACTTAGCTTACTTCTGCGAAGTCGACTTTGCAGATAAGACGATCTAGCTAGTTTCGCGTTGCTTTTTTTTGGAGTACCTATTCAATGTGACTAGATAAAGGTCTAATAAATCTACTGTAAGTTCATTGTCACTTCATTAGGTGAACACAAAGTACAAAATTGAGAAAATACTAGTTTGTAGTTTACAAATCAAAAACTGCGAGCTGACTCTGATATCCATAGGATTAGCCGATGTTTTATGAGTAGACTATTAAACTAGTTAGTTCATTGTTCACAGTAGCTGTCATTAGTGTAGTTGGATATGATATGCTCGTTTCGTGCAGCTTCTATCATACGTAGTAAATCGGTTTTATTTAGTCAGTTCTACTTGAATGATGTGTAATAAGCTTTCCAATTCAACTAGAATCTGTTGTTATTCGAAATTTCCCCCCAAAAGACTGATTTATGTTTGAATTGTCTAAGAATGAATTACATCCTACCGAGCAACAAATTTTTAAAACAAAGTCGAATATTTAGAAAAAAAAAACTCATACTATTGAAAATTATATGATTTGAAGTAATTTTTCATTGTCTAAAGAAGTAATTTACACAATCTGAATAAAATCATATTGTTACTGATTGGGATGTTAAAAATGTATTTTTTTTCATCACAAACCATCTACCGAATACTCAACTCAATTTCAAATAATTAAATTCAATTGTTGGTTGTTTTTTTTCTTAGTGATAATAATAAATTCACTATCTTCATATATGTTGTATATGTGTTAGTGTAGTTGTGTTTCTCCTAGTGAATACATAAATCATCCCAAGTCACGAAATCTCTACCTTAAACTAAATACTTTTACATAGATTAAATCACCAACACACACGCACACACACTCTCCTTCCTTTTACACATACATGTCCTTCACTGTATCCTACCTGCGTTAAATAAAATGTCTATTTTTATTTTTATCCATTCTGCTGAAATTTTCTCTCAGGTAGAAAACTGACTAAAATCAAATTAGACATCATTTTCAATGCAATTGTATAACGACATTGAATCTTGTGCATTTTTCAAATGAGTATTTATTAGGACACATTCTATAATGTAATCAGATGTTTCGTTGTTGTTGTTGTTTCGTTTGCTATTACATCCAACTGGCATATTAAATAATTTAATAATTGTATTGAATATTGCAGAACAATTTTAAAAAAAAGGAATTTTTTTTTTGTTCACTTGTTTCTTATTGTTCAGCCTTTACCACGTCAAATTATTCTACATGGTTGTTTTGCTAGACATTTAACTAATACACCGAAAGGTTTCACAGATATACATCAATGCCCGTTATGGATTCGTCTAGCTACAGATCATGGTTTAGCAGTGTCTGTAGCTCATGCTATTTCATCTGCTGCTTCTATAGTTTTTGCTTCTAGTCAATCACCACGTCGAAGTGAACGACCACCTAATATTGATACTGCTTTCAATGAAAGTGTTGATCGAAGTTTTTTATTCTTTCCTTATCCAACACCTGGACGTTGGTATCTTAGTTTATATCCAGAATGTTATACAGCATATGAGTAAGTATTTTTTTTTCTTTGATCTTTCATTGATAATAAATAGATTGAGTAATAGATTTATTTTTGCATCTGAAATTAGTAATGGAAAAAATGTACATCATTCTTTTGTAAAATCTTAAATTATTGTACAAATTTGGCAACATATTGTGTATCAGAAGTGAAAATGAAGAATTCTTCCTTGTTTCACGTAAAGAATGGAATAAATCTGACTTCTTGTAATAAATTTAAATTAATTTTTAAAAAACCATAATGCTCAGGAAATAAATCTGTTGGAGACGGTAAATCCCGAGAACTCACTTGATAGAGGTCCTAGTTTTGGATTTTCTGTGTTTTCGCGCATGGACTGATCAGTTGACCTTGAGATTACGTTCCCCAACCGGGAAATCCTCGGCTGTTATTGGTTGATAGATTTTTTTTTATGGCTCTCCAGAGGACGTTTCTATGATGTCTAAAGAAACTCGATTTATGTGCTTTTCAAACCTCATGTTTTCTGGGTGCTTGTAGAACACACTTTCTACGTCTTTTCAAGACTTCTTCCTCTACTTAGTGGGGCCTTGGGACGCTCAGATCAGAGTAGTCTATCGTGTCACTGGATCATTTGTCTTCGCTCTCGTTTACGAACTAAGGTTAACTCTTAATGGTTTCAAGCATATCAATTGATGAACATGACAAAATCCATTTCATGTCAAGATTACTCTAAGACCAACACTAATCTATCTTCCTTTTCAGGTCCCTCAAGAAACAACCTTCCACGGTGTGGGCAGCCGGGAAGTGACAACCGCCCTCATACCCGTAACAGCACACGAGACCAAATAGGTCAAAATCAAATCCTTCCTACACCCACACATACCTCTCTTCTCTCCACAACGAACTCTACTCCAATTCCCTTATCTCGCTGCACCGCTAATGCAAACAATGTGAGTTCACGAAACGTCGTTCCTGGCCTCTTGAAACCTCGTTCTAGTCTTCATGTTGGAGCATTTAATGTACGGACATTGTGTCAAATAGGGCAACAGGCATCATTAGCTAGGACTTTAGAATCTCGTGCCATCGATGTATACTGCGTCTCGGAAACGCGCATACAGGATCCTAGTAAAATTATTAATCTGATTTCACCTTGTCAAAATAAAGAAGCAGCTCGATTTACTCTTCGTGTATCTGGAAGCCCTGATGCTGCTTCCCGGGGTCTTGCTGGCGTAGGCATAGCATTGAGTCGCAGAGCTGAACAATCTCTCCTTGACTGGATTCCAGTAGATAGTCGCTTATGCGCTGTCCGACTAAACGGGACAGTAAGGGCTCGGAAAGACAAGGACACTCGTCGTTGCCTCTTCATCTAATCTGCCTATGCCCCCACTGACTGCAGTTCAGACGAGGTTAAAGATGAGTTTTACAAAAAACTTTCGGACCTCCTCCAAAAAACTAGGCGCTCTGATGTAGTAATAATGGCTGGTAACTTTATTGCTCAAGTAGGTAGACTAAGTGAAACTGAAAGACACGTAGGTGGATGTTATGGTGTCTTGGCTCAGAGAACAGACAATGGTGATCGTCTGTTGCAAGTATACTCAGACAACCGCCTATTCTTAGCAAACACTAACTTCTGGCATAAGGAAAATTATCTCTTGACCTGGCGACCTCCAAAGTCGTCTCAACGTTGGACGCAACTAAATCACATCGCCATCAGTTACCGATGGAAGGGTTAGATAGAAGACTGTCGCTCGTTCTCGGGCACATGTGTAGATTCAGATAACGCACTAGTGTGAGCGCGTATCTGTTTGAGGCTTACTGGACGTAGGAAAGACACCGCGAGTAAACCTCTTAGGGTTCCACTTAATGATAATAAAGCTAAGAATATCTTTCAGGAGGAACTAGAAAAACGTTTAGGAGACCATGAAAGTGATTAACATCCGGATTCAGGTTGTAATGATATCAGGAAGAATATAGAAACAGCAGTGATATCTGCTAGTAAGGTAAACAATAAGGCTAGAATGAAGCCGTGGATTTCATTCGAATCCACCGAACTGATGGATGCCCGAAAACGCATCCCACCCACTCTGAACATGATGAAGAGCGTAGTAAGCTTAGGCGCAGACTTATAAAAAGTCTACGTAACGACCGTGAACAGTGGTGGGTGGAGAAATCATAAGCGATGGAAAAGGCAGCGGCGATAGGGAACAGTAGACAATTTTTCCGACTTATCAAGGAAACTGGTATTTGGAATCCTACTGTAAGTGAGACTATCTCAGAAAATGACGGGACTATTATTTATTCTCAATCCAGGAGACTGGATCGATGGGCAGAACACTTTAGGGATCAGTTCAACTGGCCACGAGCCACTGTTCGGTTACCCACGATCTCCAGTCATCCTGAATGGCAAATCAACGTAAGTCCCCCTAGTCTTTATGAAGTAGAAAAAGCGTTAGGAAATCTGAAGCGAGGGCGAGCTGCAGGTCCTGATAGACTGACCCCTGAGATATTTAAGGATGGTGGTCCAGTTTTAGCAACTAGGTTGACTGAGATCTTTGGTAGAATCTGGGAACTGGACGTAATCCCATCCGAGTGGTCTCAATCACTGATTGTCCCATTCTATAAGAAAGGACAAAAGTCTTCTTGCGACAGTTATAGGGGAATAAGTCTAAATAATATAGTTTCTAAACTGTTAGCCTCTATAATCCTTAGACGCCTAACTAGAGCTCGTGAAGAGCAGACTGGAGAAAACCAGTCTAGTTTTCGACCTGGACGTGGTTATATAGACCACATTTTCACGCTACGACAGGTCCTGGAATACAGACACACGTTTAGGCGTCCTACAATAGTTGTTTTCCTGGACCTTAAGACGGTATTCGACTGAGTGGATCGTGAGGTTCTGTGGCAGTGTCTGTCATTGAAAGGTGTACCAAATAAGTACATCAACCTCATACAAGCTCTCTAATCAAACACCACTGGTCAAGTGAGAGCTTATGGCGAACTGTCACCGGAATTCTTCACTTCAGGTGGTGTCCGTCATGGATCTCCACTTTCTCCATTCTTGTTTAATTTTATCATAGACATGCTCCTAGAAATAACCTTATCCTCGTCTGAATTTTCAGGAGTAGACCTTTTACCAGGTGGCTCGCTTATTGACTTAGACTATGCCGATGACATAGTCCTACTTGGTGATGACGCTGACAAAATGCAGAGTCTTCTGACCACCCTAAGCAACAATGCAAGCATGTTCGGGATGCGGTTCTCACCCTCGAAATGCAAAGTGTTGCTTCCAGATTGGGTTGCATTGGCACCTGAACTAGTGATAGGGAGTGAAGTAGTTGAGCGTTTCGACCGCTTTACTTATCTTAGAAGTCTCATCAGTGCCGATGGCCTGGTGACTGACGAAATCTCAGCACGGATGCAGAAAGCTCGATTGGCTTTTGCCAACCTGCGTCACTTATGGTGTATGCGAGATATCCGTTTGCTGACTAAAGGACGAGTGTACTGTGCAGTAGTTCGCTCCGTCTTAATTTATGGCTGTGAAACATGGCCAGTGAGAGTAGAAGATATTCGTAGGTTACTTGTTTTCGATCATAGGTGTCTTCGAAGCATTGATCGTATATCGTGGGACACCCGAGTGAGCAACGCTTTTATTAGGAAAGGGGTACTAGGTAAGAATGGCATTTCAATAGTTGAAGTAATGAAACTTCATCAGTTGAGGTGGTTGGAACATGTGCTGCGTATGCCTTTGTTTTGTAGCGTAGGAATAGGTTGGAAGAAAGCTAGGGGCGGCCAGATCAAAACATGGCAGAAATTCATGAAGTCATTGACGAGTGGACTGAGTCATGTCGCTAGTTGTTGACTACCTGGCTGGGGTCCGAGAGATGATAATAATCGATGGTTAGAGACCCTGAATGACATGGCTTAAAATCGTTTGCAATGGCGCCGGTGCATTTATTCTTTGTGTTCTCTTAAATCTTAACCTTTTGAATTCCTCTTCATCTCTTTCTTTTTCATACAATAGAATGGTCTTGACATTTGTATTGAAAATCCTGATTTTGATTTTGGTTGAAAGTTGTTTGGAGTTCCAGATATTTTTCAACTGTAGAAATGCAGCCCTTGCTTTGCCAATCCGCGCCCTCACATGTGCGTCGGATCCACCTTTCTCGTCGATGATGCTGCCCAGATATGTAAAGGTGTTAAAGTCCTCCAAGGCATCTCCATCAAGAGTGATTTGGTTGATGCATGTTGTGTTGCATCGGAGAATTTCGCTCTTTCCTTTATGTATGTTGAGACCTACCGCTGCAGAGGCTGCTGCTACACTGGTCGTCTTCTCTTGCATTTGTTGTTGCGTGTGCGATAGAAGAGCCAGATCATCTGCGAAGTCCAGATCGACCAGCTGCGTCCTAACTGTCCAGTTGATACCGTGCTTCCCTCCAGATGTCGACGTCTTCATAATCCAGTCGATGACCACTAAATTATACTTCTTGAATAATTTCTTCGAACCCTAATCTCTCTGATTATTGCTAATACTTTTACTACCTCTATTACTATTGGATTTGAATTGACAGTTATATCTCTGTGCTAATGTGGTATGGCAACTTGAACTGCTTTACTTACGTGCAAAGTTCTACGTTGCTGTTGATGATGATGATGCTGAGAAACCCGTTTCATCCTAATATATATTTTCTTAAAAGTGAACACCTAATACCCGTTACCCATAAATAGAACCTAAGATCTTTGGTCTTGTGAACTAATACTTTAGCTTCTAAACGATTGATCTCGATTCCAATGGGGTATAAGTTTGATTTCAATCAATCTGTGATACTACACCAATTAACTTCCATTGTCTTCTCTGGGTAAAATCATCACAGCCGACATTATTTAACTTCATGACTTTGTCATTGAATATCCATCAGAAAATGAAAATCATTGATAGATCTATCAAAATTTTCCAATCTGTCGATTGGAAATTAATCTTAATAATATTGATTAAGTCATTCATTTTGTTGAGATTTCTATTCTTTTTTTCTTCTCTTTAAATTGTACTAGAGAAGTTGATATCTTTTTTCTGTTTTTTTTTTAAAAATCTATTTAAAACTATTATTATATTTCATGTCTTTCGCCTACACGTAAAGCTTTTTTTCTCCCACTTCCTATACTTCCCACACAGTCATATAGTTTGTTCAGTTCTTTGTTCAATGTCACAATGCACGTGTATATATATGAACATACATGTGTTATGTTGTTTTGTTCTCTTGAATCAATCTATGTGAATATATGCCATGTGTATAAATCTACATTCGCGTGTTGTTTATTTCTGTATGTCTATATAAACTGAAAAAAAATTGAGTTTTTAAGTGTGTTGCCATTTTAGCTTGAGGAACAGAATGAGAATGAATGGAACAAGAAAAGCAATAAGTTCTAAATCCATCACTACATTGTTATCATGACATATTCTGCATAAACTTTGTTTTCGTCTAGTGAATTTCTTCCATGTCTAGTACATCATGAAATTGTTTATCTCATTGTTTATTCCTTCGTTCTCTTCTCTGTTTCTCTCCATATCTGTGAAAATATTGTTTTTGTCTTCTCTGTGTAGACTTCAATCTTAACCTGTACTTGTATTGTTTTGAATTGTTTAACTTTACATCCAATATCCTAATAATTAACTTGATTATTATGCAGTTTTTTTTACAGCCATTACAACGTTTAATTGATTGATCACTGAGTACTAACTAATTTCTTATTTATCTGGTCTTATGATGCTGATTAAATTTGACCTCTAGTCTAAATAATCAGATATCGCGTGTTCAGATGTTAGACAGCTGCAATTAATCGATATCAGACTCTGCACCTAGGTTTTCCACTATTTGACGAGTGCCAAATAACAAGAATTCTGATCTAAAGTTTCCTGTTGAGTACTTCCAAACATCTAACAGTAATCATTACTATTATATAGTTTTAATGATAGAAAAAAGACAGAATAGAGTTGTTTGTAATAATTTTCAATAGTTTGCCTATTATTGGTTTACAAAACCCTGTTTTTAATTAGGATATATCTTACAATTACTTGTCATGATTAAAAATTAGAAATGGTCACATTAAAACAATTTATCCTTTTAAAATGTTCAATGTATAATACTTTTTTTCACTATCACAACTTTTCATCAACAAATTCTTGTTTTGTTTTTAAAAATGAAGTGCATTTTGTGGATTTGATCAGTCGGCAGTTATTGATGTTTCACTTATAATACGTTCAACTCCATGTATCAATAATCGTTGTCGACAGATCGGTGAAGGAGGTTCACTAGCACCATCTCGTCTTCTATATCCGAGAGGATTAATAGTGAGCTTTTTGTATATCAATGATTTCATTGATCAATATTAATGTTTTATTTGTCTTCCTTTGCACTGATTTTATGATTAAATTGAAAGATTCACCAACTGTTTGTTTACACAGAATTACAAAACAGTGATCAATTAATTATTCTTTGTATTGTACAATGAGTAATCAGCATTTTTTGTCAATCCGTAATCTGCTACTTTTTTAAAATTAAGAAATAAGAAATAGTCTAATCTCTTAATTTGTGCACAGTTTCAGTAGTATCCGAAAGGATTTAATCTAACAGATTCTTTCTAGATTATCTACTCAAATAATATAATGATAATATTATTATAACAACCTAAAAAGTAGGTACAGATTTATACATTCAATCCTGCCATACATCAAAGACGTATCGGAGCATAGAGCACGACTACTGAAACCATTGGGAATAGGTGTGGCACACAAACTAACAGAATCACTTCAATCAATCCTATGTAGACTAAAGGACAAAATGACAAAGGAAGAAAAACCAAATATCATGTATAAAATAAATTGCTCAAACTGTGAAAAACACTACATAGGACAAAGTGGACGGCCTCTTCAGCTCCGTTTACGTGAACACCAATTAGCAGTCAAACGCCACGACAACGCTTCGCTTATATCAATACACACCGACAATTATGGACACACATTTGATTGGAACAATGTGGAAATACTCGGATAGGGGGAGAACAAAGAACACTAGGGAATATTTAGAAGATTGGCACTCAGGTCAATCAGCAATCAACAAACACGTCGACATTGACCCAATTTATCAACCAATCAGGAAAATCGTAGGTGACATGATCAAGAAACAGATCAAAAGGGGGACAATCAAAACAAAGGTGATAACAACGACAGGTTTAAGGTCAACAGCAACCAAAAAAGAACGAGGTTAGCAGAACAAGCTACAGGTCAAACGTGGAGAAATTCGAACGCTTCACTTCTATCTGAAGTTTGTGCTGATGATGTTCAGAAGAACAATGAAAGCTCCACAACCAAAACATCCAGCTCAGAGAACTAAACACCACCACCACACACATTCAATCGTATCAGTTCTACTTATTCTGTTAGAGACAAAGATGCCTACTACTTACTGGCTGAGAATATTGCTGAAAATCGTTTTTGTTTTTCAAACTCTACCATGTGAATTTTTTATACTTATTTTTGATGTTCCGAAATTTCATAACGAGCTTAGAATATATATGCCTCTTAGTGACCGTTTAGTTTTCTGTCACTGATACCTTTATCATTATGTAGGTTATTTGATTGCATGATTTCTGATGTTATTTTAAAACTACATACATACAGACTACTTGTGCGGTAATATCGGCTTTCTGGAGAAGATAGTAGAGGCACTCTTTAAGGAGACCAGTCGTTTTATTTAAATTGCGGTAGTGTGTTAAGCATGTTTGGAGCGTGGTCTGCTGTAGACGACTGTTAACTCATATTCGGTTTATTTAAGCTATTGGTTTCGCATTCGATCTCCACCTTGTTAACCATGAAACTTAGCACAGTGAAATACCAGTGCAGTAGAAGTATTAACAACGCCAATGGGTGTAGCAAAGACTACACATTGTTTATATGATTCAGTAAAAAGATACTAATTCCTAGAATAAAAGTAGTATAGGATACTTGTGAAACTCACGATTTAAGAAAATAAAGATCAAATGTCTCATCACCATTGTGACTGATTTCGGGCCACTCACCATCTAACAACCATTAGACTAATGCTACATCATGATTTGACTACCCCGCTTGGAATCGTCAAAGCCGAAAGAAAAGAGGATATGAATGAACACAATATGCTGAGAATAGGAAGCAGACATGAAAATAATGGTCAAAACGTCGATAGACCTGGAAAAGAAGACCTAGGGCAAGAGTAGGTTAGAGAATACTGGTCGGCGGCGTCTGCTCCATTGGGGGTAACAGACGTAAACAACTAAGTAAGTAGCGTTTTGACCACCCTAGCTTTCTTCTTCTAATCTAATTCTATACTAGCCATTATTACTGGTACCTTGATTACAACATTTGTTAAATTGGTACCTGAAGATTTCACCAATAATATCTTTGACTTGACTAAACAACTGATGTAGAATGTTTTCTTAATTTATTTATGTAAAGCTAGTTAAATACGTACCAAATGAATACACATCATATGTCGATTTTTTTCATTATAATTGCATTACTATTTTCCATAATTTATAATGACAGGTAAATACATCTCGTTCTAGAGATGGAAGTCAACGATGGCGTCCGCCATGGTGGTCATTTGATGAGGCTGATAATAATAATAATAATAATAATGAAAATTACCGTTTTAAATATAACAGTCCATTTGAATATGTTCCAATGAAAAAAATTGGTAAAATACCTGGTGAAGGTATATGTATTAATCTTTTCCAACGATCAATTCATGTGTCAACATGTGCATGTCCTATTGGTTATGGTGGTCTAGGTTGTATGCCATTACGTACAGATTATTTTCAAACTTTTGGACTTTATCCAAATAAACGAATAATCTTATCATATGATGCATTAATATTGGCATTGTCAAATTTTGGTTTTATACCAGCAATTCTACTGACTGTTATTCATCGACTTTGGATACCGGCATTAGTGTATGGATATACTTTTCTTTTTTCTACAGTAAGTTGTTAATTACATTACTTCGTGTATATACGATTTCATTGTGTTGAGCGTTGTTGTTTAACAACGGGCTTTCAGGACACCAGGAATAACGTTTCATGTTCTTAAATCGTTTGCATTGGTGGTGCGGGGTGATAAAGGAATGTGAGAACGGTTAGTCGTAGAGATAAGAGAGATGTTAGGGGCTGTAGAAAGGATTTGATGGTGACCAATTCGGTATTATGTGCTGTTACGGGTATGAGGGTGGATGTCACTTACCGGCTGCCCACACCGTTGTTTATCAGTAGTAAGATGTAACTTCGATTTGAATTCGTGTCAACTCTAGACATGTAAATATTTAAAATCGGATGACTGACAAGTATTATCATAGATGGATTGTGACTATCATTTGAATCACGGACGCATGTTTTGTTATTTCTAGGACTTGTCGAACGGATACACATGCATCTCAATATTGATATTTACACTGAGATTCAAACGTAGTAACTTAAAAAAGAGTTTGAATTATTCTTTTGTTGAAATTCATGATTGAATTTTGATTATTCTTGATTATATGTGCTATTTTTATCACAAATTTTCAGAACAAATATTTTGTGTTTATTGGAACTCAATAGCTCCAGTGGATAGAACGTTGACTTTTAAAGATGAAGCTACTTAGTTCGAGTTGTAGTGTGAACATCAATAGTGGGGTACAGATTTACTCAGGTGATTCGAAAATCAATCTAAATGCTCTTTCGAGAGTCGCATACTAGTCATGACCAATTTATATAAGAGAGAATTATTATTATCATTATTATTGTTCTTAAAACTAAAAATATTTAACCAAAATTTCTGAAGAAATTATATATTTTGTTATATGAGATTATTGTTTATAGTAAGTCAGTCAGTCAGTCAATAACAACGTAGAACTTCGTACGTACGTACATCATTTCAAGTTGCCATATCACATTAGCACAGAGATGCAATTATCACTTCAAATCCCATAGTAGTAAAGGCAGTAGAACTCTTAGGACTAGTCGGAAATTTTAGTGTATATAGTAAGCATATTTTGCATTACTGAACTGTAGAAAATCTCATATGGTATAGTTTGTCATAGCTTTCACTAACTACAATAGAATATATTTAATGATATTTATTACAAGCAATATAGTTTGCTAGCAATAATAAAAGGGACTATTTTGATGGAAGGTTAACTTCATCACGAACCTATGCTTTCTGTTGACAGTTTTTGATTTGAATATTTGGATTAGGCTTGTTAACATTTTTTACTAACAGATCTCTGGTTTTGTTGACTGTAGTGTTCAACTATTTCCAAATTGAAATTCTATGTACACTTGTATTGATAGTGGCTTCCGGAATGATTTAATAGGTTTCCCAGATTATCTATTCTACTACAATTGCAAATTGAATGCAAGGCCAGGGTAGTGTATATCTTAAATATATTTTAAATTTTTAACTTAATTATTCAATATAAAAATTCGAACCGTGTTTGAACATCATTTTCTATTTTTCTCTTTAACCAAACTGTAACTTATCTCAATGTTTGCTAACTAACAATGTCCAAGTTCTTCTCTATTGATAAGTCAATCGTTGCTTTTTTGTTAAGCTGTTACATTGAGAAAAACAAAAAACCAAACTAGCTTATTGATGGAATTAAATTTCGGTCTACTAAATTTATTCGTCAACCAAAAAAATATGTAAGATCCAATTACTAAAGCAGGTGTCAATTTTCATTGAAGCATTCGTTCCTTCATCCACGCATCATCAGTACACGAAAATTGAATTTGTCAATATTTTTATTGAAGGCTTCGAATTTCTATTATTTTCATTTTTTCATCTCAGTTTAGTATGTAACATCAAAAAAGTGTGTGTTTTGAACGTTAAGTGATCTATGATAGTATCCATCATTTTACACTTAGATATTATTTACTGAATAATTAACGTGTATATATTCTCACTGACTAAAGTATATAGCTTGTTCAGTATAAAGTTATCATAGTTTAACCAGTTAATCGACAAATTCTTTAATCCTATGGATTCTCGATTAAACAGTAAACCTTATCCTAACATTACTATTACCAATTATTTATTCTCAATGAATGCAACTCAGTCAACAGACAGACAGACAGACAGATACAACGCAGGACTTCGTACATAAGTACATCAGTTCAGGTTGCCATACCACATCAGCACAGAGACGCAACTGTCAGTTCAAATCCAAGAGTGATAGTGATAGTAGAATTATTAGCAGTAATGGAGAAGATTAGGGAGCGAAGATATGATTCGAGAACTCAGTCAACAAGTAATGAGAGTTATTGTATTTAGTTTTTTAAATAGTATTCTGTTTTGTTAACTCTATTGTTTTCTTACTTTATTGATTTTAATTGAATTAAAGCTAATCATAGCAATGATAATAATAAAAAAAAGGCTAAATAATTACAAATAAATGGTTATGTTATGCAAAAAAAACTGCTAATAAATAAAATGAGTAAAGCTCATTGGGGATAATGATGTTTATTTCTGTTCTTGGTGTGGTGGCTTTTTATCTTACATCCAAGGATGTTGTAATTATACGGATAAACAGAGATTGTTTGCCTAACAAACCTTTGTGCATAGATGTACCATTATTCAGTATTTAATTTCTTCTGATGAACTAAGTGAAACTGAAGAGGAGGTTAAGGAGCTGTTTATGATCGTCTTTTTCAAAATCATCAATACTATGAATATTCACCCATTCCATCATGACATATCATCCTTATTATCTAGGAGTCGAATATAATAGTGAATAGAAAATTGTAATAACTGAATAAATAAAAAAACGTTTGTTGTATCCAGCAACAAATCATCAACTTAATAGTTCTAAAATAACAACCATTTGAAAGACTTACTGAATTGATGTTTTAATAAAAGAAACCTATCCCTTATCTACAGAAGATTTAGTTGGAATAAAATGAAACTTGATTATTGTTATTATTATTAATATTATGAATAATTAATTTAAAATCGAAACTAATTTTGATTTTGAAACATCCCTTAAGTTTCAAGCAAAATGTTCTTTCGAATTTTTTAATTCAAATTGTGCATATAAATTCGTTTAGATATGAAACTTTGATTTTGATTGATTTATAGGCTTTGATTTAAAGGATAACGCTTCAGAGTTTATTACATTAACTATTAGCGTTTTTTTTTCTGGTTAGGGTTTTTTTGAACAATGTTCTTATTTACGGAATTCGGTTACCAACCACTTGTTCATTCGTCTTCCTCTATCCCAGCTTAGGACCAGAAGTAACCCTTAGAAAGGCTGTAGATGGAATGGTATAGGGGATAAATGCTTTAGTATGCGACTGAAGATCCTGGATCTGCTCACTTCAGTCAGTCAGTTGCAACGTAGAACTTCGTACGTAAGTACATCAGTTCATGTCGCCATACCTAATCAGCACAGAGGTATAATTGTCAATTCAAATCCAATAGTAGAAGAGGTAGTAAAGGTATTAGAAGTAATCGGAGAGGTTAGAATTAGAAGATATTATTCACGAAGTATGATTCAATGAGATAAGTTTAGAAAGTAAAAGCTAGAGGTGTTGAAGAACCCAGAAGATTAGGATTTGAGAGAACACACAGAATAAATGCACTGGCGCCATTGCGAACGATTTTGAGCCATGTCATTCAAGGTCTCTAGCCATCGATTATTATCATCTCGCGGACCCCAACCAGGTAGTCGACAGTTACCGACATGGCTAAGTCCACTCGTCAATGACTTCATGGATTTCTGCCATGTTTTGGTTTGGCCGCCCCTAGCTTTCTTCCAAAATATTCCTACACTACAAAACAAAGCTCGACGAGGCAGTCGGTGGTTAGGCATACGCAACACGTGTCCCAACCACCTCAACTGATGAAGTTTCACCACTTCATCGATTGATCTGCCATTCTTACCTAGTACCCGTTTCCTAATAACAGCGTTGCTCACTCGGGTGTCCCACGATATACGAGCAATGCTTCGAAGACATCTATGATCGAAAACCAATAACCGACGAGTATCTTCTACTCTCATTGGCCATGTTTCACAGCCATAAAGTAAGACGGAGCGAACCAATGCGCAGTACACTCGTCCTTTAGTCAGCAAACGGATATCTCGCCTACACCATAAGTGACGCAGGTTGGCGAAAGCCAATCGTGAGCAGGATCTACTCACTTAGGAATTCTCATATTGTAGCGAAATAACTAGTGAACCGTTAGATTGATGTTTATTTATTTTCAAATAAATTATCTTCAATGCTTGTTAGTAAAATTGTTTACAGTGAAAGCATAATAATCACTCATGTATTCATTTGTTTTGTTTGCTTTTATTTCTAAAAACTTCTTCCTTTCCTTTTTTCTCTCTCCTATAAATAGCTTTATCATATTTGTGATACAGATTCTAATTTAATACCAGGCTATAATGTAATGCATATACCGAATTATGTTGGTGCTAGTTGGCTTTATCAATCGACAGATATTGCATTTAAAATGAATATTCCAATTAGTAGTAGTAGTAGTAGTATTAGTAGTAGTATTGGTAGTAGTAGTGCTAGTAAATCATTTGTATATTCACAATTTGCTTCATCAATCTGTGTATTACCAGTGGATACATTATCATTTTGTGATTTTTTCGGTGGAATATTTTCAATTTGGGTAAGTGCATTAACAGCAGCAGCTATACCTATGAAATATACTCAATGTGCATTAATTATTGGAGCATTATTGCTGACAGTGGCAGTACAAATTGTTCGTTATTCTATTGGTATTATACTAGTCCCATTATTGATTGGATTGATTATTATTCTTTATTCATGGGTAAGTAAGTAAGTAATAGTGAAAATATTATTATTTGTCATTTCAATGATGTATATTGAATTATTTATGAATTGTTATTCTACAATTTGAAAGGTGGTAACTTAAAAAATTAAAGAAATGCAATGAATCATTGATGATTATTTCTCTGAATTGATTGTCATTAGTTCAATAAACACCAAGCAGTTTTATACAATATCAATAAGTTTCAATATGGAATATGAATTTTCAAGGTTAGGACTGTGTAAATTAGTATGGAAATATGATGGATGATACTTTTCTTTTTTTCTTGCCTTGAAAGCCCAAACATTATAAAAATCAGAATGAACTAACTTTTTGTTAACTAATAAAAATATTCATGATTTATTGTTTATTTATTTCGGGCACAAATCCATGAAGTCACTGACAAGTGGACTGAATCATGTTGGTAAGTGTAGATTACCTGGTTACAGTCCGCGAAATGATTGTAACCGATGATTAGAGACCTTAAACGACATGGTTCAAAATCGTTTGTAATGACGCAAGTGCATCCATTCGTTATGTTCTATGAAATTCTTATCTTCCGAATTCGTCATCTCCACCTTTCTCTTTCGAAACGTATCTCACTTAACTATATTTCTTGAACAATATATTGGAACCCTAATCTTCTCCATTACCACTTATACTTCTACTAACGTCTATGGGGGTTTGAACTGACAATTGCGCCTCTGTGCTAATGTGGTATGACAACTTGAAATGATGTACCTACTTACGAAGTTCTACATTGTAACTGGCTGACTAACTGTCTGATTTATTTATTAACACTCAACAAGTTTTAAAACTGAATAATAAATAATACAATGTATAAGAACAGTTAACTTAAAATAAAGACCCTCAAATAGTGTTTTTGATGGTTTAAATATTAAAATATGCATGAATGAGAGTGAGTACTCACTAACAGAGCTGAACTGAATTTTTTCGAAAAATTAAACCCTCAATCCATCATCTTATCTGTAATTTAATTGTCACAGCGTAAAAGTCACTTCAGAAATCAACATTATGGATTGTTTAAAATTTTTTGGTTTGTAGAAATCTACTCTCAATTTAAAATGTCCGTTGAAGAAGAGAATTTTCAATTAATTTTCTCATTTTTTTTTGGTTTACGAATTTTTTCTATATTTAGGCAGGAATTCACAGCATAATAACTGTTAAACTGACCAGTCGATCAACTAAATTCTATTCTATTCTCATCAATAGACAGACTGACAAAAAAGACCAAACATAAAGTGGTCATAACTAAAAGCCTATATTGTTTTTTCGTGGACGTTTGAGTTCCAGTGTGAACACTAGCACTGAAATACATATCCATATTGCTACTATGTTTTTGAATTAGGATAAAATATACATTCTACATTTCATAGCTAACCACAATCGATATCTATTGTTTGACTAAAAGTCATTTATTATCATGAACAATTGTAGAATTTGAGTTTTTATTCAAGTAATGCCTATCTGATTACCTAGATAAATTCTAGCTCGTGTAGTATATGTATGAATATGTTGAGCCCATATGGCCTGTCCTAGCTTTCGGATAACCAGATTAACTTTTTCTGCACGAGTTACGATTCCCACATCTTTCTGCCTTATTTATTATTCGGTCCTATCCATAGTTGTTTATATTTAAATGTATATGTGCGTGCATACTCACTTCAGTTATTACATGTCTACCCTATTTTTGCCAGGCTATAAATACTTAGTCATGATTATTCATCACATGGAGTTGGTTCATTCGCCTCCTACGCTTCGCTTCTTTTCGGGTGATCTATCGTATACCTCCATCATTTCCCAACGCAGTTTGATCCCGTCTCCTACACATTGCAGAAGCCATAGGAATACATACATTCAACCCTAAAACACAATAATTATATTTAATTTTTTCAATTCAAATTTTACATCTTGTTCACTTATTTTTATTTTTTTCTTTGTATTCTTTTTCTACAGATAAATTTATGTTTAAAGTTGAAATGTTTATTTCCACCAATTCAATGGTGGTTAATTGGATTTCTACCAGGTGTTCTATTAGCCACTGGTGGTGCATTAATGTTTTTTCATGAACAATCATCTATACATAATCAATATACTAAATATCATAGTATTTGGCATATATTAATTGGTTTATCATTAGCTTGTTTTCTTCCATGGCCATATCGTTGGCGTCTAGCGTTGAGTCCAATTATACCAATGCATAAATCATTATCATGTGGTAATTTATCAAAACATTCTATTTGTAATAATTATAATCTGACAAATATGAATTCATTAGTAGTGATACCTGTGGAATTAATATCGAATGAATTAGAAACTTTTCCTATTCATAATAATAATAATAATAATAATAATAATAATAATAATAATAGCAATACTAATAATAATAGTAATTTAGAAGCAGATAATAATAATAATAATAATAATAATGTTAATCATTCCAACGATTATGTCACATTAACAAAATTATCACATAAATCAATTGTAATTAAAAAATTTATGAATATTTTAAAGAATTTATCTAATTCTACATGTCGACTGTATCAAAAGTTTACTACACACATTGATAAACAATTTCAATTGAATTTTCTACTTGATCCATTATGTAAACGTTGGCCAAAATTGAAATGGATATTACCTTATGGTAAGTAAGTATTTTTTTTTACATTGAAAAAATCATCAACCAAATCATTGTTAGACCATTGTGAGAAACCTGGAAGCACTGAAAGACGGACGTTTCGTTCTGGTATGGGACTGATCAGCAGTGGGCATCCACGACTCCTGCACCTTGTAAGATTCGAACCTAGAGTTAGACATTAACACCGTTGAAAGCCGACCCAGTTGTTCAGAGGTTAGGCGTTCGCGCGCAAGACCGAAAGTCCTGGGTTCGAATCCTCCGAGATGTAGGAGTCTTGGATGCGCATTGCTGATGAGTCCCATACCAGGTGGAAGCGGTCGTCTTTTAGTGCTTCCAGGTTTCTTATGGTGGTCTAACAATGATTGATTGGTTGATAATTTCTATGTGCGAAAACTCCTGTTGAAAAATTATTCTGCATGTTAATATATACACATGGATTTTCATGGTTATTTTTTTTACAAACTTAATTTCTTTTCTTGATAAAAAAACAGTTTTCATTAACTTATTGAACCTGGCGTAGATATGTATCTGTTCAAGTTACTACATCATACAAACATAACGAGATAGAATCAAAATGGATAACCAGCTAGTTGAAATAATTATTATGTCTATACTAACAAAATTACTATAGATATGATTTGAAAAATAAGCATGTCTGATGGAATACTGAAGCTTAAGTTTTAAGAGAAGTAAAAGATTAATTTGTTCGTAACCAAGTTTAAATCAGGTTACCCGACATCTGCAATTACCCCAGATACGGTTACTGTGTACACACCCCAGTTATATATTTTGCGCTATGAATACATGAAATATCAGTTCATAGATTGATACTACAATGCCTTCACTTAACTTTTTTTTGTAATGACAATTGGCGGTTTTACTTCGGGGTAGATGAAAGCTAAACATGTGTGATATGTTTCCTGGCCATCTCAGTCGATACAGATTCATAGACTCATTATCTGTTTGATATAACGGAAGAATAAAAAAATTTCATCTGTTTACCATGATATACTACTTTAAATATGATCTATCTCTAAAATTAAAATACCAATATACTGCATACTCGGTTGATACGCCATACCCAGTGGAAGATCACTTTATACCGGATACAGAATTCCCGAGCAAACACAGACGATCGGAGTGTAGACTAGACAATAGTTTAGTCAAAAAAAAGATTACAAACAGTCTACACCCACTGAAGTTTGGTGTGGAAACCAATGAAAGGAAGGAAACTGTATATTGAATAACAAGTCAAATGTCTAGTTAGCCGCCCTCAGTGACCATTTACATCTTCCAATAGCCATACATACATACTTTATTTATTACTCTTTGTCTTAAGTCAGCATTACTCATCTCATTGTTCTACTATACACAAACTGTGATTGGAAAACATTTGTCCTTTAATTACAATATCTTCTAGACTCATTTTCTTTGATGTAGTCGGTTATTTTGTACGTTGTAAAATACACAACTATGAAATACCATTGTAACAATCTTTTTTCTGTTACTTAGTTTGTTTTGTGATACACAGTTACTATTTTACTTTACCGGAAAGTATAAACCTAAACCATTGAATACATTCCTGTCTATAAAATTCCTTCCTTCCATCCAGTAACTTAAGGATACATAAATAGAAATGTAGTCTCCATAATTTTGTTACTGGTGCCTGTAATGCTTTCAATAATATCAAAGATGAAGCTCTGTAATTACGGTTTAATATATTTTACATAACAAAGCAATATTTTTTATTAATCCAGATATTTAAGTAAAACCACCATAAACCATAAATTTCCTTTTTGTTCATAGTGAATACAATAATAATATTTTTAGTTTAACTACAAAATGATTGTTCATCAGTGTACTGTGTAAATGAAACAGTTAGATTACATGACCATTAGTAGTTGTTACACACTAAAGGAAACATCGATTAAAAACTTCAGTTTACCTTGTGATGATGATGGAGAAAATGTGTAACTCAGATGGATAAGATTATGGTGAAGTTTCATTCGTTGAGCTGAATTGTTTGGTTAATAGACTCTAACATAATCCAGTTTACTTAAAACTTACCTTCATAAATAATATTTATCTTCTTTATGAGATATTCAAAAACATTGTACACAAGAAATATTGTGGTGCGCGCTACTTATAAGTAGTATATGACGCGAGTGTAAACGTAATGTCTGGCAGCAGAAGATAGGGGAAGATCAATAAAGGAAGAGTGGGAACACAATGGAATTTGTATGAAACGCATGAATAGTGAAATGTCAGACAATGGATTGATGACGGATTGAAGATTTGCCTATTTTACTGAGTAACTCTGTAATTTGCGATAAATAAAATTCGGTTGCCCTCACCTGTGTTCTCCTTCACTATAATATGACTTCATTTCTTCACTATTCCTATACACGTATGCATGGAACATCTTTTTATTTGTAGAATTTTATTGTTGTAATCTGTCTATTTCGATTTTATAGTACCGAGTGGACTAAGAATTTAAACTCTGCTATTTCTTTTCTCTCTCTCTCTGTCAAAAAATTTCGTAAATATAATCAAATTCCTTCATTGATTATATTGTATGATTATTTGATGCGAAAAAGTTACTGTCATATTTATATATTTTTCGCTTTGTAAATCGCATTTTATTCACTCACAAAAAAAAACATCTGTTACATGCTTAGTGTTGTTTGTAAGTCGACTGTTTCATAAATGTACACATTTTTTTCTATTTTATTCTTGTTATTCACATTTACCTGAGAAAAAAAATCGATTTCAATAAAAAAAGACTAATATCAATGTGAAAGAGTTAAATTATCAAAACAAACAATTCTGAACAACTGTGAAGGAGAAAGATGCATCAATAAATAAGTAAATATATGTATATATTTCAGGACAAAATTATGAACTAAGAGTTTTTTGTGATTACCAATCTAGTTTTTAGTTCAGGTTAAATATCTACCATTTCGAATAATTTCAATCAATCACCAGTAACGTAGAACTTTGTACGTACGTACATAAGTTCATGTTGCCATACCACATTAGCATAGAGGTGCAATTGTCAATTCAAATCCTATGGTAGGTATGGTTGGAGGATATTATTTAAGAAGTAGAATCTAGTGGAATAAACTTAAAAAGAAAAAGATAAAGGCGATGAGGAACTGTGAAGGTTAGGATTTGAGAGAACACGGTGAATGAATACACCTGCGCCATTGCAAACGGTTTAGCGCCATGTTATTCAGGGTCTCTAACCATCGATTAATATCATCTCACAGGCCCCAACCAGGTAGTCGACACCTAACAACATGAATATTTTAATTATAGACAGTTTTACTGATAGGTATTTCAAAAGATTTTATTGATGATTTTTTGTAAAACATGTTTACGTACATAAATCTTCTATTCCTCATTTTTTTTCAACACTCCCATTGTTTTTATAAAGAAATATAACTTTTTTTGATATTTCTAAACCGTTAGACGTATTCTCATATATTTTCCAATGTTTTATTTGATTGAATTTTGAGATGGTAGTTTGGCAGTTTATTTATTTGATTCTCGATGAAAGAACTCGCAACGAGTTCCAACTCACTTATATCGACTTGAAATTTCCATATTATTGCTACCCATCACTTAAAATTGTGACTCAAGGTTTAGCGAATAAACCTGAACCACAAAGGATTAGCAATCAATATGAAGGCTGTATTCAACATTTTCCAATAAATCGAGCATTAGGTAGAGAGATAATAAATTTACATTTCTGATGTTTCGTGACTCTTAATGTCAGTCACATCTAAGTAAAATAAACAAATAACCAAAATAAATTACTTACCTACGCCGGTTACCCCCAATGGAGAGCAAAGGCCACCCCCCCCCCCGAAATAAATTAACCCTACTTTAAAATGGCAAGAACGTATCAAAACAAAACATTTTACAAATTAATTTGGTAATACCTCGCTATTTTCAATAACCACTTAATCTACACCAAAAATATCCAATCATTCCAAAAGGCTTTTTCAACTATAAAAAGATGAATAATCTGTCTTCCTATAGATAAATTTAAATATCGTTTTTTTATTTCAATTCGGAGAAAACTTTAAAAGCTTCAAACTCTCTTTGTGCTTTATAATATTGTTTATTTTCCATAAATTATTTATTTACAACAGTTATTTTTTGATGACACGATATTTGGCTAAAATGTACTCAGTGACTATCTTTTCTTGTTTGGTTGGACACAATACCCCACAGTCATAGAAAATTATGTATATGACAATTTTTTTTAAAACTAACACACGCATGTTAACATCAAAAGTTACTATCCAATTCTCGAAATTGGATATTTACAATTATAAACTTCTATGCTTCATATCCCTTAATCATAAATTAAGTTACTCATATGAGACTAGGCTGGTGGTCTTTGGATTTCCGTAGGTTTATTAAACTTCCTCTCTCTCTGCCTATTTAGATTTGTAGAACAATTAGTGTATCGCACATTACTGTCTTGTTTGCAATCCAATGTTTGCAAAAATGACTGAATATTCTTTCATTCTTACTGTAGCGAATTATCTAGCTGGGTTTCGAACCAACAGCTATCTCCCAATAAATTAGATTGGTCATCCTTATCAATGTTTAGATAGAAATTATTGAATACAATCTTATCCAACGAAAAACAATACTATATCACTCTGTTTTTCACAGAAAAATCTTTGTGAAATTATATTCTTTAGGCACTATGTGCGTTTTATGATATTTATCATTTACGAAAATAATTTTCTCAATTTCATGTCATGCAATGTTATGATTATTATATTTCATTCTGAGTAATTATATTTCAGCTGACTATGTTGTTTACTTTTTCCTTTTTTCTTTAAAGGTTACAAGCCAAAGAACATTCTTTCTACTGATATTCAAACAGACTAAACTACCTCATCCCTCTTATTAAATACTCGATAGGATTTCGTAATTCTTCATTTATAGTAAAAAAAAACAATGAGACAATCACGTAACTTAACTAGTCAGAATAAGTTTACTAGATTTTATTCTTATTTCATTGTTTTTGTAAATTGATAATTGTCAATTAACTGATTTTTTTTGTTCAAATGTATTTGTGTTTTTTTTTTTAAATTACAATCTTTCAATGTATGTAGATGGTGTTCAATAATTTGTATAGAAATGTTGTTACATTCTACAAACATGTATGTATGTGTTGAGTATTTTTCGAATAGGAAAATTAGTTAGGTTTTATTTTGCATTTATTGATTTAGATTCAATGATTCACAAGGATTATTATGGTTGTTTGTATATAATAACTTAATGTGGATGTTTCACCTTTTTAGTTGATCCCTGTTAGTTCACTTTTTTCAAATTACAATGTTTGTTATATTGAAACAGAAACATATTAATGTATAATTGTAAAAGAAAATTATGTTCATATAATCAAAATTTGTATGTTCACAGTTTCTTCATTGTTTTATTAAACGAGATCAAAAAATAAGTTTTATTTCCCCTGGGTCGAAATATCTTATGCTGAAGCAACTTGAACCAATGAATTTGTGTGTCGGTCCGGTGACACGCAGAACTTCATACGTACGTAAATCAGTTCAAGTTGCATACCACATTAGCACACAGACGCGACTGTCACTTCAAATCCAATATTAGTAGAGGTGGTAGAAGTATTAGAGCTAATGGGGAAGATCAGGGTTCAAAGAAATTATTCATCAAGGTAGTCGGTGGTAAGGCATTCCTAATACATGTCCCAATCAACACAACTGACGAAGCTTCAATACTTCATCTATTGGTCTATCATCCCTGCCTAGTACTCGTTTCCTAACGACAGTATTACTTACTCGACTGTCCCAGTATATATGTGTAATGCTTAGAAGACACCTATGATTGAGTACTAGTAACCTAAGAATATTCTCTACCCTTGCTGGCCATATATCACACCTACAGAGTAGGAACCGCTGCGCTTTACACTCGTCTTTTGATTAGCAACCAGATATCTCGCCTATGCCATAAATAACGCAAGTTGGCAAAAGCCAATCGAGCTTTCTGTATCCGTGCTGAGACTTCGTTACACAACAGACCATCATTACTGATGAGACTCGTCAGATAAATGAAGCGGTCAACACGCTCGACTACTTCACTCCCTATCAATTGTTCAGGTGCCGATGCAACCGGATCGAGGGGAAAACCGCGTGCTGAATATGCTTGCATTGTTGCTTAGGATAGTCAGGAGACACGCATTTTGTCAGTAGCTCATCTTAGAATTCATGATACTTTTGATAGCCCTCATAAATCATCTGTTCTGGGGTATTTGAGATATTTCACCATGCCTGTCGCAAAGCGATGCTAGAACTGTGGTTAGATTAGTTTTACCTGGTCTATTTTCCAAGACAGTCGGGTTCAGTCAAGCCTAAACTGTGCGACAGAGCAACCTTCAGATTCCAATAATCGGCTTTATCGTTATTCTTGGAACTTTACACCAGCCACTTTCTTATGTCAACTAATACCTGGCTCTTTAGGATTTATATTTCCCTTGCATTACAAATTTCAGGTCTTTAGTACGAATCTACGATTGTCTTATTTCGAAATGACGTGGAAGAGGCACTAGCTGCATCTACCGGTTGAACTTCGATGACCATCAAAACTTCAGAAGATAGCTCCTAATGGCATAAGACGAAACTATGGATCTCTATGATATTATTTCTCATTTTCGTGCCCTTCATCTTGGTTAAAGACTGTCCAAAACTTCCAAAAGCATGTCAAGAAAGGAGTATATTTCTAGATGACAATAAATTTATTACTAATCAAAATCACTAACACAGTACTTGTAGTAAATATTCTTCAAGAAGCCCTACAGTCTCCTCAAGCCCAAACCTGCCGTCACAGCAAGCACTTCAGGAGACCATGTCAAACACATTGGTGGAAGTTTCAGATATTGAACATGATCAACTGTCTTACGTCAGTCATGTGCTGACTAAGGTTTCCTATCTCCTCGATAGCCACCAGAAATTGACGGATACCAACTATCGTTCACAGTATTTGGTCTTTCATTTATAAGCAACAAACTGAAAATTCAACTCCGCTTACGGTGAATAGTACGCATACCTTAAAGTATGCCTGTGCAAACACCAGAATTTCTCTACTGCAGGCGTGTCACTGTGAATGGTCAGCATAGACATGCTAATACACCAGACCCTATTGGTTGCCTCTAGCAAACAGATGTCTCATATACTTCTTGTAGTTTATACCTGTTAAACAATAAATACCTAATCTACGGGACCGGAAAAAGTCAGCTCGTGCATAAAATTAGGGCTTTTCCGTCTCCGTGGTCTTTTAATTGGAGGAGATCATTCTTAATTTGAAGTGTTTAAGGTAGGTAGCATTTAAATAGATTTGCTTATCTTAGTTGTTCCTATGCCTTTCGGAGATTTGAATATTTCCATTAAATGCCGATTCCTTCAAGCCACTTGTTTCCAAAGTTTTTTCCTATATCTTAACTTAATGAAAACCCTGTGGTGTGCGGTTTAATTGTTGACCTATGTCTAGTGGCAGGTGTTTCGTTAATTTAATCTTTTATGACTCAGTTAATTCATTTTTACATTAATTCACTTGTAAATTTGTATCAAGTACTTCTATCAGCCTTTTGACTGAGGCAAGAAATACTCTTTGGCAGATAATCGTATCTTAAAGATTCATCACGCGTAATACCTTGTAATTATCAATATCCTAACAAAACACATTGTAGTCGAATGCTTTTACAAAGAGGAGGCAACTGGTGTGATGGAAACATTTATTATTGTACTCAGTTGTAATAATAATTGTTTTATTCTGCTCCTTTTATTCAACTGTACCAAAAACAATCGCAGCTTGCCGTCTGTGTTGCTGCCATTCTTCGTTGCATGCATCTCCTTATGTCGCCCACTTACTCGGCGTAATTTCTATGTTCTTTCGACACCACTAAGTCACCAACAAATATATTCTTCACCCTGGAATTATTTGTCTTTACAGTGACGGGCTAGTAATTAGTATTTAGTGGTGATTATAGACAATCTCGACTCGATCACCACTAAAACATAATGACCAGTAATTCTTCCTTAATTCTTCTGGCAACAAGGGATGGTAGACCGGTATTACTAACTAGTGCTCATGTAGTTACAACCTAGATCATTATTACCTTTAATAACCTAATTAGCTTAGTGATCTATTCAAAAGATAATATTACACATAACCTGTTTAATGGGATGTTAAAGAACGAGTCTCCGGAATTTTAGTGTCCCTGTCATTCATTAATCAGAGTCAACGGAGAAGCCCTTTGGTGGTAGCCCATGCATTATCTATGTAGGGTCATGTAAATAAGTGTATGTGTTTTTGATTAAGTTGACTGCTGTTTCAATCCAATATTTCTGCCTTTCAAGTGAAACTTAAATAAGAGTACTGTGTAAATAACTCAGGACCACAGTATATCACGATTTTCGAATACGAAAAGTAGTTGTTCTGAATAAGTCGCTTAATATAAGCTTACATAAGCATCAGAAAAGGAAATCAATCAATGTCACAAATGGCTTCCAACGAATTGGCCTTCCTAAAATTAATCAACTTCAAGAAGAAGGCATTGATATTCAGCACCACTTATCATCCATAACCCGTAAACTATGAATCTGACAGATGACACCGATAAGGAGACTTAGCTCTGTAACATATCCAAAGGTAGAGATCGTCCAACGATGCAGGGACATGATCTTCATAATGTCTTTAATAAGTTTCACAAACTTTCGTATCACAATAACCAAGAATCCATCAAGCTGATAGCAGAACGATCTTCCTGGCCTGGTTTGAACAAAGATGTGAGAGAGTGAGTATGATTCTATTTAAGTGAGCTCTGGTGATAGTC